AAGGCTAGGTGGTGTCTATATGTACAAGTGCAAGAAATGCAAGTGTGAAATGCATCTATAGTGAGAGAAAATGATTTTTTTATATGCAAGTGAATGTATGAATGCACTCTAAAAGGGACTTGAAGCGATGTTAGATGCACCCCCTCCCAGACTTGAATGAGACACCGTCCGCGGTGTCACTCGAATCCGAAGGGGTGGAATATGTGGAATATGAAAGAATTGGATCAAAGTGGAAGAGGGTTAATGTGTAACCTTGGTGTCCAAGGTCGAAATGTGCCTCCTTGCATTCCACTTTTGATGTCTTCCACATTTTTCTCCTCTTTCGCGCATGGGACGTAGAACGGACGGACCGCCTCCAGCAGAACGGTCGTTCCACATGTACCAGAACGGGTGTTCCGCTTTGGCGTAGACCGTCCGTTCTGCTTCTGTTCCAGACAGCATCCTGACTTCGCGCTTCGTCTCCCGTTTTCTTGCATCAAGGTCTGTCTAATCCGGTTCTAAATAACATCAGTCACACCAAAAGAGTATCAAATCCAATCAAGAGAGTGTAAATGAATAATTCTAAATGAGATGCAAATGCTAAAAAGGATACAAAAAAGGATATGTACAAGTTCGGGGTGCCTCCCGAGAGCGCTTATTTATGGTCCTAAGCTTGACCGCGGGGTTGCTCGCTCGTCTTGAGGATCAGAGAAGCTCATCGAGTTCCTCTCTTTGGCGTGCTCCCTAGGGTTGTAAATCTTCAGCCTTTGCGCGTTGGTCTTAAACGTATCCCCTCCATAGCCATATAACTCTATCGCTCCATTAGGGTAGACATGCTTAACCATGAAAGGCTCCGACCAACGCGATCTCAATTTGCCTGGAAATAATTTGAGCCTTGAGTTAAAGAGAAGTACCTGAGCACCTTCTCTAAAATCCCTCTGCAAAATCCGACGATCATGCCATCTCTTGGTTCCCTCCTTGTAAATCCGGGCATTCTCGTAGGCATCCAACCGAATCTCATCGAGTTGGTGAAGCTGCAACACTCGCTTCTCCGCAGCGGATTTCCAATCGTAATTCAGCTTCTTAATTGCCCAATATGCCCTGTACTCAAGCTCAACCGGCAAATGACAAGCTTTCCCATAGACAAGTTGGAAGGGAGACATACCGATGGGTGTCTTGAAGGCTGTCCTATACGCCCATAGAGCGTCATCAAGCTTGGACACCCAATCTTTCCTTGACCTTGACATCGTCTTCTCAAGTATGGCCTTGATCTCCCTATTAGAGACTTCAACTTGTCCACTCGTCTGAGGGTGATACGGGGTAGCCACCTTATGTCTCACACCATATTTCTTCAAAAGCGCTTCTATGGTGCGGTTGATGAAGTGAGATCCTCCATCGCTAATCACGACCCTTGGCGTCCCAAATCTCGGAAAAATCACCCTCTTGAACATCTTCGTCACCACTTTCGAGTCATTAGTGGGGCTCGCCATTGCTTCTACCCACTTGGTGACATAATCGACCGCCACAAGGATATCTTGGTTCCCATAAGAAGACGGGAACGGGCCCATGAAGTCTATGCCCCAAACATCAAAAGGCTCGACTTCCAAGATGTATCGCTGAGGCATCTCGTGGCGGCGGGAGATGTTCCCCGTTCTCTGGCAAGCATCGTAAGAGGAGACGTATTGATGAACGTCTTTGAACATTGATGGCCAATAAAACCCGGCTTGAAGAATTTTAGCCGAGGTTTTCGATGCTCCGAAATGACGAGCATAGTCCGAAGAGTGACAATGATGAATCACACTTCGGACTTCCTCTTCGGTCACACATCTCCTAAAGAGGCCATCCTTGCCTCTCTTGAAGAGGTAAGGTTCTTCCCAAAAATAATCCTAGATGTCTCTGAAGAACCTCTTCTTCCCGTTGTAATCCAGCTCGTGGGGGACATACCCGCTAACAATGAAGTTCACAAAATCAGCATACCACGGGTCTCTCTCTTTCACTTGGACAGCCATCACGCAATCATCTCGGAGACAATCATCAATGGGAATATCTTCATGTCGCTCAATCCGAGATAAGTGGTCGGCCACTCCATTCTCTGTACCCTTCCTATCTCTGATCTCCAACTCAAACTCTTGCAGCAAGAGAATCCATCTGATTAACCTCGGCTTGGCATCCTTCTTGGATAGGAGATATCTCAAGACAGCATGGTCGGTATAGACGATCACCTTCGAACCGACCAAATAAGACCGAAACTTCTCAAAGGCAAATACTATGGCGAGTAGCTCCTTTTCAGTGGTGGAGTAATTGACTTGTGCATCATCCAAAGTCCGACTCGCATAATAAATGGC